TTTTTTTCCCATCACAACACACAAATGAATTTTCCATCCAAAATACACTGTGCATTGGCTCAATCAAGCACGTCAACATATATGTTCTCAGCAAATAATTTCCCAATTCTTGTGTCCTGCATACCTTGCTTTTTGTTTTACCATCCTAGAAGAATCTGCACTCTTAAAACACAGCCCTCAGACCAGCAGAAGGCATAATGGTTAAGTCACTGGACTTGCACATGGTCAACCACAGTTCAAGTCATGGACCTGGTGGCTTAAAACACACACTGGGCACATGTGCATGGGTGCCCCAAATCGGAGAATGGAGAAGAGAGTGTGGCAAGGCCATCCTTTCCGTGGGGGAATTTCTCACTTTCTGTCTCTCTGGCGAGTGTACATGTGCTATAGCAAAAATCTCTAAAGACAAATTAACGAAACAACCTTACCTTCTACTGCCTCTGTATATGAAAGGAGAAAGTAATTTATAAAAAACATTCGATTGTTTTACTAGTCTTTTATGATAAAAAAAATCTCTCATATAAAAAATTTGGGGGGGGAGAGAAGCAACAAGTGGTATAGTTGTTAAGGAGCTGGACTTCCACCTAACCATCCACGTGGTCTCACCCCCCAGGGGGGCAATTTTTTTACTTTTCCTCTCTTTCTCTGGTGAGCACACACGCCCTATACCAAACTAAAAAACAAACTCACAGTCTGAGTCCCAGACCTGAAGGCTTGAAACATACACCAGATGCATGTGCATGTGTGCCCAAAAATCACAAAAGAAGCGGTTGCAGCATGACCATCCCCCATGGGCGGGGAAGCCGTTTCTTGCTTTCTCTCTGTCTAGCAAGTGCATGCACCCTATAGCAAAAATTTATCTCTCTTAAGAAAAATAAATAAATAAAAATTCTTTCAGCTCAGAGAGAAAAAAAAGTACAAATAGACAAAGAACAAATTAGAAACAAAAGTGATAATCTAGCAATACTTTCCTGAGGAAATTTCCTCTATTTTATATATATATAATATATATATATATTTAAATTTGCTACAGGGCACATTTGCTCACCAGAGAGACACAGAAGACACATGCCATCTTCCCAAGGAAGATGAATGTGCTGTGCTGCAAGCCCGTCTCCCACCATTCTCCTCTCGTAATTGTGGGCACACATGCCTGACGTGTTTTCAAGCCACTGGGTCCAGGATTCAAACTGTACATCTGGCCATGTGGGATCCAACTACCTTAACCACCATACCATCTAGCTGGCCCTCCTGTATTTCAACTGTAAGCAAAAATTATCAAGACTAGAATCCTGGGGCCAGCCCCATAGCTTAATAGCTACAAAAGCAGGATCCTACATGAACCACCAGGATTTGAATCCCATCCTCGTGGCTTAAAAAAATACACTGGGTGCATGCCCCGAACCGCAGCAGGATAGAAAAATGGGGTTGAGGCATGATCACACCCAACTAAGGAATGCTTTCTCCCCCTACCCTAATCTTTTTCTGATGAGCACACATGTCTGCTTGTCAATTAAAAAAAAAAAAAAAAAAAACAGAAAAAGAAGACAAAGAAAAGAGATGAACAGAACCCTTAAGAATTCATGCAGGTGGGACCAGCAGATGGCATAATGGCCACATTGTCGCTGGACTCCCATGCAGTCAACTGCAGTTCAAGTCCCAGACCCGGTGGTTTACACTCACACCAGGTGTGTGTGTGTGTGTGCCCAAGATCCCAAGAGGAGAATGGAAGAGAAGGGACTGCGGTGTGGTCATCTCCCTGGGGATGATTTCTTGCTTTCTGTCTCTCTGGTGAGCGCACACGCCCTATTGCAAAAATCTCTCTAAAAACCAAAAATTCAGAAGTGTACTGGGTCAGTCTGTCTCTCTCTGGTCAAATTAAAAAATAATACTAATAAATGGAAATAAATAAATAATAAATAAATAATTCTTTAAAAATGATTTATTTAGTTTTACTTATCATCATCATTATTATTTAATTCACAGAGACAGACAGAGAGAAGAAGCAAGCCACCAGGTCGGGGACTTGAACCACAGACGGCCATGTGAGAGCCTTAACCACCATGCCACTTGCTGGTCTCCCTGAATATAATTGTTCTTTTTAAATCACTGAACTTCCTGAGCAACTATGTGATGTTCATGAGTAAAGACTGGGGGGAAAAAAAAGAGCAGCACAGATTTCTTGCTTTGAATAATTCTTTTTTTTAATTTATTTTTCACATGAGTTTTGCCAGAGAAAGACAGAGCGAGCGAGCGAGAGAAAGAGAGAGGGAGAAAGGAAGAGTGAGAAAGAAAGCCACCAGGTCTGGGACTCGAATCGTGGTCGGCCATGCGGGAATTCCAGCGCCTTAACTGCCAAGCCACCTGCTGGCTCCTTGCTTTGAATAATTCTGAAACCATTTTATTTTAACTGGTTTTTTCAAAAAGTACCTTTGGACAACCAGATTAGAATAATTAAAAGGTGAAGCCTGAAAGAAAATGTATAGTTTTAAACAATCTAAACTCTTGGAGTCATTAGGATAAACGAGAAATGTTAGTAACTTGAGGCTGTACAATATGGAGCAATACCATGGAGAGCATTACTCTAACTTAATGCCTTTAAAGTAAGGCCTGAGAAGCAAGACTGAAATGAGATATCATAATTGGCTAGAAAAAATCAATTTTGTGTATTTCTCATCAATATGTTCCAAATAATAATGAAAAAGACAACTTCAGTCAAATATTTACAGCCTGAAAGTGATTCAAAACAGTAACTATTAGAACACTGTGTGAGTATAACAACTATAAAAACACCCCACAACTGGAGGAATGACAAATCATATACTCAACTGACATAGGACTATGTGCAAGCGTCTAGCCCTTTCATGTACCACTGTCCTAAATACCGAAGACTTAGTCCAGCAGGTGGCATGGAGATTAGGGTGGCTGAATCCCACATAGCCAACTGAGCCACTGGAGTCACCCCTGACCTGGCAGCTTAGGAATCACACCAGGTGGAGTGTCCAGAATCCTAAAGGGATTGAGACATGGCCATCCTCCCAAGGGGGTCAATTTCTCACTTTCTCTGGTGAGCACACACACGCCCTATACCAAACTAAAAAACAAAAAGACTGTAGACTCACAGAAATGTACAGATGCATGTCAAATTAGATATTCACCTTGCAAAAGAAGAAGAGGAGTGGGGTTTAGTCTAACTACAAGTAATCGCCAAAAAGCTGTTGATAAGGAGACACTGCTACTCCACAGACAGAACAAAACCTTTAACGGGCTGACTGTAAAAATGCACATTTGAAAACAAGCCAAGAAACCCCATGTCATTACCTGTTCCATGTTGTACCCATGCTTCTCTTTGGCAATGGCAATGTATTCATCCACTAAAAAACAAGATGGAGAGACCAGTAAAGAAAATGCGGACAGAGAGCAGCCTAAGTCTGCTAGAATATATAAAAATATGTAGGCCTGCTGTGCATAAGGAAAAAAAAAAAAAAGAATAGATGGTAACAAAGTAGAATCATATACTATGGTCTCCTTATTGATCTTACCCATATAAATCCCACAGAGTAATGCCTGAATACACTCAATTATTAACAGCAATTATCTCCAAGTGGTAAGATTATGAGTCTTTACAGAAAAGACTTGGTTCTGACTTAATTTTTCTGAAACAAACAAGTATTACTTTGGTGCTTAGAAAAATAATTATTTAGTAGTAAGAAGAAATATGAAATTGGGGTTCGTTTTTCATCTCAGCTGAGGCTGAGGAACAAGCAAGCTATTTTTATATTGAAGAAAGCGATCTGGTACAACTACATGACCCAATGCCTACTGCCTGCTTTCAAACACACCAATATGAGACGGCACGTGTTCACTCTCACACACTAAGGAAACGCAAGGAGAACAGACTGAACCTGCAGAAGGAGTTGGCAACCACGCAAATGAAGCTACTACTTTCCTAAGGATGTTCTAGTCCTTCTAGGTGTACCAAAAGAATGGCACCACCTGGTAAAATTTTCCTGTATAGATTATACAAAAACACGAGCTTAAAAAGAAATCCTACCAGCACAGAATTCTACAAAATGAATTATTCTTGTTTCCTATTCTCATTCTATAAAGTAAAGTACACATAACCAAATTTAGGTACAAAAGCCAAATTTAGAGAAAACAGGGTCAGAGTGGCTCATCTCCCCACTAGTACACAGGCAACAGAAGAGACCTATCAAAAGCCAGACCTTCTAAAACCTCAGTATCTGAATATACTCAACTACTTGAATAATCCGATTATAATATAATCATATTCTTAACGACGGTATAAATGACAGGCAATTTAGGAAAAAGAAATCAATTTTGAAAAAAATAAACCCAAACTTTAATAAGTATGTGTGGGAAAAATAATTTCATCAACAAAGAAAAATTCAATCTGGCCTTTGAGCCACTGTCTCTGTTCACTCGGGCCAGCCGCTACCTCTCAGGAGTGTACTTTCACTTTTACTTAATAAACCACATTACCCATTAGATAAATTTTTAAAAATTTAAATAAAAGGTCAATATAATTCAAATAGCAACTACCTATAGGATAACTTAGAATCAATCGCAATAGCAGTACTAAGGCACTTGACTTCCTATTTTAATATTTAAATTGATACTTTCATATTTTAAAATACTGATTAGTTCTCACTGTACCCAAAATACAGTAAAATTCTGGTTTGCCTGAAAATCACTGAATGACAAACCCAGAAAAGTCGAAACTGGTGGGCTGGCCGATGGCACAATGGCTAAGGCAGCCAGATCCCACATAGCCAACTGTGTGGCCCCAGTCCTGGAACCAGAGGCTTGAAAAATGTGCACTAGGTGTGCCCCAAATCCCAAGGAGAGAATGGAAGAGAAGGGACTGCGGTGTAGCCATCCCCTCTTGGGGGTGCTCTCATATTCTCTCTCTCTCTGGCAGGCACATGTGCCTATAGGAAATTTTTTAAAATTAAAAAAAGAAAAGGAGAGAGAGAAAAAAAGAAAAGTTGAAATTGGTGGTTCTAGAAAGGGGAGAGAGACAGTTATTCAAAAGTGTGCTCCTTGATGGGCCAGCAGGTGGTATGGTGATTTAAGGTCTAGACTCCTGCATGGTTGACCATAGTTCAAGTGTCAGACCTGGCAGCTTGTTTTCACTCTCTCTTTTTAAAATTTTATTTATTTATTTCAATTTGATGAGAGAGATAGAAAGTGAAAAAGCAAGCCACCAGGACTTGAACTGCAGTCAGCCATGTGGGAGCCCCACACCCTTAACCACCATACCACCTGCTGGTCCCACTTTCTAACACTCTTGATCTCTCTGTAGTCTTTCTCTGGTCAAACTGAATAATAATAGTATTTTAAAAACAAACAAACAAACAAAAACTCAAAGTGTGCCCCTTGTTTTTTACTTTACAATGAGGTAGATTACAGCACATAAAATTCTTTTTCTGGGTTCTTGACACAGGGTGTGTGTGCTCATTAGAGAGAGACAGAGAGGGAAAGTGAGAAATCACCCCCCCAAGGGGGATGACCATGCTGTAATCCTTTTTCCTCCACTCTCCTCTCAGGATTTTGGGCACAAAAGCATACTCACTCCATGTAATTTTCAAGCTGCCAGGTCTAGGGCTGAACAACCACGGTCGGCCATGTGGGAGTTTAGCACCTTCACCACCATGCCCCACAAATAAGGTTCTAACAAACACCGGAGGCAGTAAAACAGGTAGTGCTGCACTCCTGGCAAGACCATGCCACAGGGGGGCGCTGTGGGGACTTCTGCTAGAGGGGATCTAAAAACAAGGGCAGCACATGAGGCAGACTGCAGGACAGAGGATCATAGTCTCATGAGATATATTCAAAGAGCCAGGGTCAAAGATGTAAGAGGAAAAAAGAAAACCAATTTAGAATGAACTGAGGATCAGCATTGGAGAAGGTCTTGTTTACTTGAACAATGGCTTGAAGGGTTCCTTCTTTTTATTGTTCACTTCTGCTATAAAGTCCCAGCTCTGACAGCATACTATTATTTACTTAATCTGAGCAAAGAAGCTATGTGTGGCCACCAGTCAGTCACACAGGCTTTCAGCACAGGAACACAGGAAACCCTGAAAGGGGCTGCTGACCGACTGCTCAAGAGTCTGCTCTGCAACATCAGCAACTGGGCCCATTACCTGTTCCCATTATCTCTACCCAAACCTAGCTGGAGATACAGGAGAAAGACAAGCATTCTTGGGCTGTGACTCTGCAGGTGGTAGGAAGACCAGGACAGACTGACGCAGGGGTTCCCACAGTGTGGCTAAGGCTGCCACATTGTAAACAAATGGTGATCTTTAAAATTATTTAACTTAGAGTCAGTAGATGACATGAAGGTTAAGGTGGCTGGATCCCACATGGCCGAATGAGTGATTCAAATGCTGGACCAGGAGATTCAAAAACCATACTGGGTGCATGTGCATGCATGCCCAAAATCCTGAAAGGAGAAGGGACTGCAGCTCAGCCATCCCTCTATCCAGTAAGTACACATGCCTTATAGCAAAACTAAAACACACACACACACACACACACACACACACACACACACACACACCACCCCTTAATTTTTCTTGGAGACCATCCTGAGGACTGAACTCTAAGGAAAGAACAGTTCAGCCATGGTAGCACAGGCAGTGGAGTACTGTACTAGGCTGGGGCCATACGGGGAGGCTTGGGGTCCAGTTCCCAGTTCTACCTCAACATACTGGGCATGCCTGTGGCCCTGCCTTGCTGGAAGGCCGGGGGTGGGGAATGTCACGGCATGGCAAGCAAGGCTCTGATAAGAGGGCTTAGTATCCCTCTGTTAAGAGCACAACCTCTCCTCCCCACCCAAATGATGAAAATAAAGAAAGAACTTTATCATAGCTACTTAAATGAAGTCACTTTTATCTATATCTATCTGGTGCTCAGAAGGTGTGATGAAATAAGCTAATGTAACCTGTGGAACTCCCATCTGACACCCACTGGCAAAACATCATTTCTTACCCTATGCATGGCCCCTGTGGCCCCCAGTGACCAGACAACTACTGCAGAGTGTGCTCAGCACAGTGCTACGTATGATGTCAACCTTCTAGCTCTCTGTGCAGCCAGGCAAAGGCAGCACAAGTCAGGTGTGGGTTGAGGAGGACCCAGGTCAGTCTTGGCTGTCTCTGAAGATGGAGCGTGCCCAGCACAGGCCTGGCTCACAGGAAGTACTCTATTTAATGATTGTGCTACCGTTAGCATTTTCTTCGACCTTCCAGAAACTAGCTCCCAGGAATTAGCCAGATTATCACACAACTGGGAAAACTACATCAAAGCAGGTACTTTCCTCCTCTTCTCATGGAACAGTCAGGACTAGAGTTAACTCAGATTATGGCCACAGGCACACACAATGCTGCTGCAAGGCCCTGTTTCTTTCTTTTCTTTTTTTCTTTTGGAGAGGTTTTTGCTATAGGGGATGTGCGCTCACCAGATAAACAGAGACAGAAAGAGAGACAGAAAGCAAGAAATCACCCCTCAGGGGGGGATGGCCACGCCGCAATCCCTTCTCCTTCATTCTTCTCTCGGGATCTTGGGCATGCATGCACACAAGCCCAGCGGAATTTTAAGCCACCCGGTCCGGGACTCGAACTGTGGTCGACTACATGGGAGTCCAGAGACATAGCTACTACACTAACTCCACAAAGCCTTGTTTCTTACCAACTTCCTATTCCACATAAACCTCAGTGGTTATTTCCGTCGCTGGTCAGAGCACGTGGCCACCTGCCACAGTTGTGTGAAACCTTGTGCCGTCCCTTCCCACCAACACCTTACTCCTTTACAGATGGCTGCTCTACAGCACAGTGACATAAATGCCAAGTGGGCATTTTCCAAAACCTCCCACGTGGTTGAAATAAAACAAACAAAAAGCACTTTACTCTAAGAAAATAAAATCCTCTGCTAGCTGCCCTCATAAACAGACAAATTCAGATGCTGGATAGATAAGGGCAAAACAGGAAGAGGAACGAGAGAAATGCAAACAACCTGAGACACAATACTCCAAGAGAAAAGAGGGATCCCTGAGGACTTTTCCAGTACTTTCTATATCTGGCAACTATAATCTTGATTCTGTACCCCAAAAAGATTAAAGGTTAAGTGGGGTTAATCTCAATCAGAGAGAGAGTGAGTCACTGTAGGCAGAGATGCATTTGGCAAAGGGATGCTGAGCAAAGTCCTTGCAGCCTAAGGAAAATGCCAGAACATTTCCATGGGCCTGTGTACTTGCCCACCAGCATTCCTCAGTGTACAGGGAATGACACCAGGAGATCGTGTAGTGCATTCCATGCTCTCCAAACCAGTCCCTGACACAAGAAGTATGCAGCCC